GTCTCGAGGGCCATCGTGTCCTAGGGCTGATTATTTCCAAATGCCCTTGTTTTTTGTTGTTTTGTTTTGCATTCTTCACTTCCGATGCTAGGAGACCATTAGCTGCATCTCAGATGACTGCTTGAAAGCTTTTAAGACCCCAGTCGCTACTCACCAAGGTAGGATGTGGAGCAATGCTTTTATGTATCTTGTTGTGCCAATTGAGCCTGGTGTCCCCCAGCACTATGGTCCTGAGGTAGTAGCTCTATTGGATCTCTCTCCCACAGTGTCTGGGTGTCTGTGAGGGATTACTCTGTGTCTGTCTTCTATTGTTCTGTAAGGATTGCACGTATTTTGTATCACTGGTGTCTGTGCAAGATTAGCCTCAGCTGAGTCTATCCTTGGTCTAGAGTATACCTCTGTTCACTGACCCCCGTCTCATCATCTCAGGTGTTTATGTGTTTATCTGTAGAGCCTTGTGTTTGGTGTTAATGGCAATGTGGTATAGTGGACACATTGGTTGGTATTAGCAGAGAAGGGTTTGCTTGGGAAAGGGAACCACCCAGTAGGTTCCTGGGATGGGGAGGGAAAGGGAGGGGTTAATTTCGGGCTGGTTGGGGCTTACACGCTGACATGGGCAGGGAAGGGATTTACGGGAAGGATCTGTGGCCACCACGATAACGCTGGGAAGTGAGAGGACACCGAATCGCGCACATAAGAGATAGACAACAGATGGATATGAACCAAAAAAAAAAAAAAAAAAACCCTTTAAAGAAGCAGACGGCTGGGGGTTTGAACTGCTGAACTTTTGGTTCGCAGCTGAGTGCTTAACCACTGTGCCACTGGGACACCTGCATTTTCTTCTTGTCTGTGGCTTTCCATTCCCTGAAGTGTCCCTTGAACAACAGCCTCGTTCTGATGAAGCCCAATTTATTAATTCTTAACAAGGATTCTAGACCATGTTGTATCTAAAAAAATCCTTGCTTAACCAAAGGTCACAAAGATTTTCTCCCAGGTTTTCTTGAGAAGTTTTATGGTTTTACAATGCATCTGAAGCTCATTTTATAGAGAGAGATAGGGATCAAAGGTTGTAGTTTGCAGGTGGTCATCCAGGTGTTCAGCATTTGTTGCAAAGACTGTTCTCTGCACATTACACCTTCCTTAGTAACCAGAGTTCACACAGTATGGGTCTATTTCTGGACTCTGCTCCCTTCTGTTGATCTGTTTCTGCATTTGTATGCCTTTACCACACTGTCTTGACAACAGTAACTTTGTAATAAGTTCTGAAAACAGATAATGTGCGTTCTCTGCCTTTGATTTTTCAGTCTTTTTAGTGCATTTGACTGCCAACCAGAAGGCTGGTGGTTCAAACCCACCAGCCACTCCTCGGAAAAAAGGTTGCGCAATCTACTTCCGTAGTGATACCACCTCAGAAACCCAAGGAGGGGTAGCTATAGGCCGGATTGGACTCTACAACAGTGAGTTATTTTTCCCCCTAGGCCCTTTGCATTTCCGTGTGAGTTTTAGGATCAGCTTGCTAATTTCTACAAAGAGTCCTGCCCGATTCTGATTGGGATGGCATTGACTCTGTAATTGATCTGGGGAGAACTGACATCTTGACACTGTTGAGTCTTCCAGCCCATGGGAACAGGTGTATCTCTCCACATATTTAGACCTTTAATTTATCTCAGTAGGAAGATGGGGAAGTCTGCTTCCCTAAAGATTTACCACCTCAGAAATTCAAAGGGGTCGCTGTGAGGCCTAATCAACTCGGTGGCAGTGAGTTTGTTTTTTTTCTTTTTAATTTATGTCACCATAGTTATAGTTTTCAGTGTGTGATCGCGCATCCATAAGTATTTCTTATTTGTACGGTATTGTAAATGGTATTTTTAAATTTCAATTGTTTGTTCCTATTACATAGAAATACATCTGATTTTTGTATATTTATCTTGTATCCTACAACCTGACTAAACTCACATGTTAGTTCGGGCAGCTTTTGATAGAGCCTCTCAGATTATCCACATAGAAAATCATGTTGTCTGCATGTAAAGACAGCTTTATTTCTTCTTTTACAGCTGGTAGCCAAAAGGTCGGTGGTTCAAACCCACCAACTGCTCCACAGGGAAAAGACGAGGCAGTCTGTTTCCTTAAAGAGTGACAGCCTTGGAGACCCTGTGGGCAGTTCCGCTCTGTCCTCTAGGGGCGCTGTGGGTCGGAATCCATTCCATGGCAGTGGGTGTGGTTTAGGCTTTGCTTTTGTGAAGATTGACAGCCTTGGAGACCCTGTAGGCAGTTCCACTCTGTCCTCTAGGGGCGCTGTGAGTCAGAATGGACTCCATGCAGTGGGTGTGGTTTGGGCTTTGCTTCTGAGAAGGTTGACAGCCTTGGGGACCCTGTGGGCAGTTCCCCTCTGTCCTCTAGGGGCGCTGTGGGTCAGACTCCACTGAACAGCAGTTGTGGAGAGGGAAGGGGGTGCTTGCTGAGGGCTCAGCGTCTGTTTGGGGGATGAAAGATCTTGAAGGGGACAGTGGTAATGGTTGCATAACATGGTGAAGGGACTTGGTGTCTCCAGGTTGGACACTGGAGATGGTGGCATGGCGGGCGTTTTGTTCTATTTACTTTCTGACAATAAAAGTAAAAGGAAAGAAAAAGAAAAGTGAGTGCTGGCTGGGGGAGGGCAGTGAGTGGCTTGGGGTCCAGAGAGCTGAGGCGGGGGAGGCAGGGCCAGGCACGGTGTCTGGATGGGCTCTCAGCCCCTCTGCTGATGGCTGTGAGGCTCACCATGGCCCTGGTTGGGCACCACTGATGCCAGCCACCTCCTCTGTGTTTCGGGGGGAGACCAAGGACTGGGAATGATACAGAGCTGTGGTGGCCTCCGTGCCAACCCTGAGCTCCTGGGGCCAGGGCTGCTCCCCGCTGGGATCCCTGAGAGTGTGGCGGGCACCACCCCCCCTGACCCCAGGGCAGCCGGCTGCTGCCTTCCTGCATGGCCACCGCCACCCCAGTAAACAAGCCACTAAGGTCGCGTTCACATTGCAGCCCATGCCAGCATCAACTGTGCAGAGTGGATGGGCTCACCTGGGCTTGGCTGGCAGCAGGACCGTCAGCGCCAGCAGGTGGTGACGTCTCCGCCAAGGCGCCTGGCTTGGGAGGACCTGGGCCTTGGTGAATGCCCAGTTGGCTGGCGGTGCCCCAAGACATGTGCTCTGAGCTGCTCCCTCAGCAGAATGGGTGGGTGGCGGGATGGTGTCTGGCATGTGTGCCCAGCACGTGTGCCCTGGCCTGGGGATCAGGGCTGCCTGCGGGAAAGCCGGGTGCTGGGAGGTGGCTGAAGGGCATTCTCCATGCCCTCATGCCTGCCCACCTCTCTGCCCCTCTGGGCCCCTTGGCAGTGAGCGCCTTGTTCCCGCCCAGCCGTGAGAAGGTGGGCGAAGCCAAGATGGAACCTCACCACCAGGCCTCTCCTTGGCGGGTCCTTGGTCTGGGCCTGTCACCGGGCCCCTCCTCCGCTCGACACCTGGTAGAACTGGGCACTGAGAGTGTTTGCCTGGGAGGCTCTGGTCTGGGTGGCTCCCAGCCTGTCTGGCTCCGGGGCTCTCAGAGGTTGCTGAAGGGCCGTGCAAAGCCAAGTCCTAGGTGGGGAGTGACCTGAGCTGGTACGTAGCCACTGCTAGAGGTAGGGGACCCCAGATGGGGCAGGGGACTCCCATGAGGGGCAGGGACTCCCAGATGGGGCAGGGGACCCCAGATGGGGTAAGGGACCTCCAGGCAGGGCAGGGGACCGTGTCAGCACCCCAGACCTTTGGACTCCTCTCTGGCACTTCCTCCCTCCCTCCCTTCCAAGCCCTCCTCCAACTGGCGTGACCACAGGGTGGGTTAGCACTGTGTTCTCAGGCCAAATGGAGACGTCTTTGCTGGCTTGTACTCTGGGATGCAGGCAGCAGCTGAGGGAGGGAGCGCCCCCCAGGGGACCCTCAGTCAGTGGAGCCACTGAGCGTCTCGATTTAAGCGCACCTGACCCAGGAGGAGGCTCCTGGTGGCACAATCGGTTTGCACTCGACTCTAGCTGGAAGGTCGGTGGTTCGAACCCACCCAGTGGCATGTGGAAAGAAGGTCTGGCAATATCTGCTTCCGTAAAGACGGCGGCCTAGGAACCTAGGAGCAGGGCTCAGTCCCAGTCTGCAGCGCCCAGGGCACAGCCCTCATCTGCGGTTCACTGGGGACCATTCTCCGGAATAGACACAGACAAGGAGTTCGGGTCGGGTCGGGTCCGGGAGCTGGACTTCAGTTCCGACTCTGCCCTTCCCCGAGGATGCCTTCCTGATGTCCCCACTTCCCTTTGACGTGGTTTGATGAGGGGAGACCCCCAAACAGGAAGAAGCGTGCCCAGAGCGAGTGCCACCCCCTCAACTCAATAAGCTTCCATTCCGCGGCGTCCGCGCTTTATTTCACAGGAAAACTTTCACACCCGGAGAGGCAGACACAGAACAGCCCGGTCCGGTCCGTCCACCCACTGGGCCAACTCAGCCTTTGTTCCCCTTGTGCTCTGATCGCCGTGTCTGTATGCGGGTCTGAGGAGAGCTCAGCCGCTAACCAAACACTGGGGCTTCGAGCAGACCCCGAGCTGCCTGGGGAAAAGGCCTGCTGAGAAACCAGGCCCCGATGGGCATGGGGTGCTCGGACGTTTTTTTTCCAAGGCCAAGCCCCTTCTGCCCGTGTCCCGTTGCGAGTGGTGAGTGGTTGCTGGAGGCCGGCCTCGGGGTGAGCTGGCCTGCAGGCCCAGGGCATGGCTCCTGGAGGCAGGGATCTGGGGAGATCGGCCCCCCTGAGGATCCCAGCTTCCTGTGTGGCCTCGCACCTACCGTGGTGTCGTGGTGTCGTCTTACACACATGCCTTCCAGGGCACCCGAAGGCCCTGGGGGCCTGGGGTGGTGGGGTGGGACCCTGGCCCAGAGCTCACTGAGCCAGTGAGCCTGGGGGGCTCTCTGTTGCCTGCCTGAGCCCCGGCCTTTGCCTTCCAGACCCCGACTGGGCCTCCCACACCCTCGGAGTCTTCATCTGCCTGAGCTGCTCGGGCATCCACCGGAACATCCCCCAGGTCAGCAAGGTGAAGTCTGTCCGTCTGGATGCCTGGGATGAAGCCCAAGTGGAGGTAGGAGCCAAGCAACGGGGGGACTCACAGGGGTGGGGATGGGGATGGGAGACCCACAGAGGAACCAGGCAGGGATGGGGTGAAAGGGACCCACAGGGGGAGTGATGGGCACGGGGAGATGGGAGACCCACAGGGGCACTAAGCAGGTGTGGGGTGAGGGGGACCCACAGGAGTGGGGATAGGGTGACCCACAGGGGCACCAGGCAGGCGTGGGGTGAGGGGACCTGCAGGGGCAGGGTGACGGCAGAATCACTTGGGAGACCGCATGCTGTGGGACCTTAGCCCTGTCCCTGTCTCTCTGGAGATGGACATCCTCCAAGAGCCCGTGAGCCATGGGGGTCCAGGCAGCGGGAAGTGATATCCGAAGGGCAGCTGCTGCAGTCTGCAGGCCAAAGGGGCTGCGACTGCGATGTTTGAGAGATTTTGCCAAACTTCTGCCGCGACCACTTACATGGACCCGAGCATCCTTTAGATGTGCTTCCTGAATCCCTGCCCACGTGCATGGGTGGGCTCCAGCATCAGACCCCACCTACCCACATGGAATCCACTGTCCACCTGCATGGGATCCAGCATCCCCCCACCATACACCCACGTGGGACCCAGTGCTTCCCGAAACCCTGCCTGTACACGTGGGCTGGAATTCCATGTCTTGCGTGGTTTCTCTCCTGTGCACGGTCCCTTTGTACGCACACCCTCCCCATCTCAGCACACTGGGAGGTCTGTTGTCATGTAGGGTTCTTTACAGCTTAGGGACATGAACCCTTTGAGAGACCGCTGAAGAACGTCTCCCCAGCTTTGCTCCTGGCAGTTTCTGCCATGGAAGCTCTTTGCTTTTCTGCGGTCAGACATGCCCCTCTTTTCTTGTGTGGTTTTGGGGCTTGTGGCCAACCCGAGATGAGTCCTGGTTGAACTAACCCTTGTAGACCACACTTCATAGACTGTACCTCCATCCTTTCACAGTAGGTCAGGGGGTGTAGTATGTCCACGGAGTGGGGTGCCCATCACCCCACAAAAGAAGCCCTACTTTCATACCTGGTAGAGTTGTCCTTCTCAATTTTCAGAATTCTCTCAGGTATTTTTGCTTGATAAGTTTTCAAATGGACTTTAGAATCATTGGCTAAGAAAGTCTATTATTATTTGGGGGATTGCATGAAATTTATAGGTGAACATAGGCAGACTTCACATCTCCCTATCCCAGATCAAAGGAGTTCTGGTGGCACAGTGCTTAAAGCATTCAGCTGCTAATCAAAAGTTCGAGGTTTGAACTCACCGGCCGCTCTTTGGGAGAGAGATGTAGCACGGCAGTCCGTTTCCATAAAGACCGACAGCCTTGGAGACCCTGTGGGCAGTTCCACTCTGTCCTCTAGGGGCGCCGTGGGTCGGAATGGACTCCATGGCAGTGGGTGTGGTTTGGGCTTTGCTTCTGTGAAGACCGACAGCCTTGGAGACCCTGTGGGCAGTTCCACTCCGTCTTCTAGGGGCGCTGTGGGTCAGAATGGACTCCAGGCAGTGGGTGTGGTTTGGGCTCTGCTTCTGTGAAGATTGACAGCCTTGGAGACCCTGTGGGGCAGTTCCACTCTGTCCTCTAGGGGCGCCGTGGGTCGGAATTGACTGCACGGCATGGGGTGTGTTGTCTCAGATCACATTCAGTGTTTCTTTGTGCTTCTTGGGAAATCATGAGCATTTTCTTCATAGAGATTTTGAATGCCTTGTATGAAGCTCTCTCTGAAGTATTTCCTGTTGTAATTGGCATCATAAACAGGGTCTTTCCTTCTCTGGTCTTGTCTAACGGGCTGACGTTCAGTACAGGAAAGCGGGGCTGGTTGGCTTTTCTTACCCTGGTGAAGTAACCGTGTGGCACACCACTTGGTGACCCAGCCATCCTCACGTGCCCAGTCCAGCGACATCAGTGGGGGTCACGCTGTGCACCTATCACCACCCTGTTTCCCAGGGGCATTGCTGTGTCGTGAACCTGCCACTGGCTGACCACACTGTTGTTTTTCCAGCTGATCCTCTTCAGCCGTCAGTGTTTATGACGCCGGTCCCCAAAGCTCAGTGGCTTTAGGGGGAAGGGTACCAGGACGCAGCTTTGGGGTGGCATTTTGGGAGAAGGCCTCAGGTCTCCTTCCTCCTCAGGCCTTCCTTCCTGGCAGGGGCTGCCTGCACAGCCATGGTTGCTGTCAGCGGCCCTCAGGTCGACTCTGACCTTACGTGCATCAGGATAAAACGCCGCCGGTCCTGGTGCCGTCCTCACCAGGGCCAGCACCTTTGAGGTCCTCCTTGCAGCTCGTGGGGCAGCCTGTCTCAGCCAGGATCACCCTCGTGCTTGCAGGCCTCCCCCTTCACCAGACACCACGCCCTCCTCTGGCGACTGATCCCTTCTGACAATGCGTCCAGAGCAAGGGAGCTGGACAGTGTTCTGCTGTGACCTGGAGGGTTTTTCACTGATTTTTGGATGCTGACTGCCAGGCCTTGACTTTACTGCTCGTGAGAGGCTGGCAGTCATGGCACTGTGTCACATACCAGCAGCGTCCCCCGTGGTGGACGGGTTTCAGCGGCACCTGCAGACTGACTAGGAACAAGGCCCAGCCGTGTGCGTGGCAAACCTGTGCTCCTCCCCTGGCCCCTGCGGCGTGTGGTCGGGCCCTGCCGGCCTCTCCGGCCTCTCTCTCACCCAGCTCGCTACGCCCGGCCATGCTGGTTTCAGTACCTCTTCCAACAGGCCAGGCAGCAGCCCCAGCCTTGGCCCTTGGTGCATGCTGTTCCCAGGCCAGGAACACTGTTTGCAAGCCCATCTCATGGGCTCTCAGACGTGGCTTAAACAGTCCCTCCTCTGAGACACCCCCTGATCAGCCCCGTCAACAGGTCTCACGCCCTTTCGGCTCCCTCATGCTCTCATGTCATTCCCACGTCGCAGGTGTCAGTGTGGACTCTTGGTCTTTCTCTCTCGTCTGTCTGCTGTCACCATGATGCACACCTGACCTTAGCAGTTGTTGTTACGTGCTGTCGAGTCGGCCCCGACTCATAGCGACCCCTCCTTGGGTTTCCGAGGCGGTATCACTACGGAAGTAGATTGTCCAACCTTTTTTCTGAGGAGTGGCTGGTGGGTTTGAACCGCCAGCCTTCTGGTTAGCAGTCAAGTGCCTTAGGCACTATGCCACCAGAGCTCCCCTTAGTAAGGGAGCCATTATTCCAAAGGATCAGTGCAAGTGGGAGACACCGCCGCAGTGGGAGGGGCTATTCCAGTGGGGGAGGGGTCTGCTGCAGTGGGAGGGGCTATTCCAGTGGGGGAGGGGTGTGCTTCAGGGAGGTGGGGTCTGCTGCTGCAGCAGGGCCTATTACAGTATGGAGAACTCTGACTATAAGCCCAGGAAGCATCTAGCCTCAGATGGAAGGGTTTGCCTTTGACAGAGAGGAGACAGATTGGGCTAGAAAGGGCTGAGTGTGGGAGGGGAAGTGGGCCCAGAGGACAGCCAGAATGCCCTGCCTGAGGGCCTGTTGGGGGGCCTTAAAGTGGCAGCCCCTTAAGCTCAGGCTCTGGGGGAGCACTCAGGGGCCTGGGGAAAGGCAGCCCTCTGTCAAGTGACTGCTCCTTGTCTCACAGGCCGGTGGTACAGGCACCTCAGCTCATGGCGTGCGAGGCCCAAGGTGGGCACTGGAGGGTCTAGGGGTAAACGAGGGGCTCCCTGGTCCTGGGGCGCATCGGCAGCACGCTGTTTCCCGGGGGTTTTCAGGGCTCACAGGGTTTATGTCAAGCCCAGTAGTGTGGCTCCGCACAGCAGTTTGGGCTCCGCCAGGCCCCCTCTCTGTCCCCAGGAGCATCTCCCATGGTGGCCATAGCTGGTATTGGTTGACTGAGTGAATCAGCCAGGTCTTGAATGAGGTGGGACTTCTGGGCAGGGCAAACGGTTAACATACTCGGCTCCTAGCCAGAAGGTTGGGGTTCAAGCCCTGCCAGAGGGGCCCGGGAGACAGCCCCTACAGTCTTCTGTAAAACCAGCCCTGGAGACCGTGGGAGTGCAGTTCTAGTCGGCCACACACAGGGGGCGCCACGAGTCAGGGTCGACTGAACGGCTGCTTGTTAGTGAAGTGGGGCTGCTGCTGGGCCGAGGGCACAGGCCTGACAGCCGGGACCTGGAGCGGTGCGAGGGGACCGACTCTGGCTGGCCTAGGAGGCGCCGCCTCTCTCTGCCCCTGACTGGGCTCGAGGGACAGGGGTGGGGGTGGGTCCCATCCCTCCCCGCTCCCTCTGGGACAGGTGGGGTCGGGCTGGACCCCTGGCCGGAGCAGGAGCCACGCTGACACCTTCTCTCTCACAGTTCATGGCTTCCCATGGGAATGATGCAGCCAGAGCAGTCTACGAGGCGAGAGTGCCGTCCTTCTACTACAGACCCACCTCCTCTGACTGCCAGTGAGTGACGGCCGGCGGCAGGACGGTCCCACGCCGGGCCACAGCCACAGTGGGCGGTCCTGGGAGAGACTGGGGGCGGCTGGGGCGGGGGGAGCGGCACCCCAGGCCCCCGCCATTTCCTGCTGTCCCCTCAGTGGATCTGGCCCTTGTGAGGGGCCCGATGGGGCAGAGGAAGGGCTGGGAGGTCGTTGGCAGTCAGCACAGGGCAGTGGCGGGGCGATCACAGTAGGGAGAACTCGGACCCCAACTTCAGGAAGTCTGTCCCGTGCGCCTCCTCAGAGGCGGCGGGAGGCAGGAGTGGTAGCCCTGGGCACATGGCCACCTGACTCTGGGGCGTCGGAGAGGGAGGTGCCCACCAGGGCCGCTGCCTGGACCCCCGGCCCCACACATGCTCACTCCTTCAAGGCTGCCTTCCGGCCCTGGCCAGCTCTTGGCCCGGCTCCTGCCTCCTGGCCCCCAGGCTCCTCAGGCCCTCCTTCCCGGAGTTGGAGTTGGGGGTATGGGTGTCGACCATTGTCCAGCCCACCCTTGAGGACCCTCCCCTGTGTGGAGGACTGCGTCAGGCCAGCCCCACCCCCAGACCTGGCACCACCCAGCTATGGTTCCCCTTCTGCCGAGCCCCATTTCAGGCTGGAGCGCTTCTGCTGTATGGGTCCGCCGGTGTGAGTCCTGTAATCAGAGCTAACGCATATGTGTGCAAGTACCTCTCCTTGTCCATCTTCCAGGCGGAGCCCTGCACCCCCCCGAGGGTGGGCAGCCCCCCACACCCAGCGAGACCCCCAGGGTTGGTCAGGGAGCTGCTGGAACTCAAGGGGTCAGGACCAGCCTGGCTCTGCAGACCCTCTGAGGGTCTGGCCTCAGGAATTGTGGGTGGAGACTCCGGTCCTTGGAGTGTCTGCAGGGCTTCCTGACACCGAAGTCTCCTGTTGGGGCCTCTATCCTCAGGAATGGGGGCTCTGCGAGCAGAGAGGAGGATCACGTGTTCTTGGTTGATCTTCAGGGGCCTGACTCTCAGAGAATGTTTCGGCGGGGAGGGAAAGAACGAAGGAAGAATAAATAGATGGATGGATGTGTGAGTGGATGTGTGAGTGGCTGGATAGAAGGATGGATGGGTGGATACAAGGATGGATGGACAGACAAAAGGATGGATGGATAGAGGGATGGATGGATGGGTGAAGAGAAAGATGGATGGGCAGAAGGAAGGATGGATAGGCAGACGGAAGGATGGATGGATGGGTGGACAGAAGGATGGATGGATGGATGTGTGAGTAGATGTGTGGGTGGCTGGATAGAAGGATGGATGGGTGGATACAAGGATGGATGGACAGACAGAAGGATGGATGGATAGAGGGATGGATGGATGGGTGGACAGAAGGATGGATGGATGGATAGAGGGATGGATGGAGGAATGGAGAGAAAGATGGATGGGCAGATGGAAGGATGGATGGGCAGCCGGAAGGATGGATGGGTGGTTAGAGGGACGGATGGATGAATGGAGAGAAAGATGGATGGGCAGACAGAAGGATGGATGGCTGGATAGAAGGATGGATGGATGGATAGAGGGATGGATGGATGGATGGGCAGATACAAGGTGAATGGGTGGGTAGAAGGGTGGATGGATGGGTGGTTAGAGGGACGGACGGGTGGGTGGATGGATGGATAGGCAGATGGATGAGTGAGGGAGTATAGATGATGGGTTGATGGATGGATTGAATGATGGATGGATGGGGTAGAGATGGGTGGAAGGGCAGATGGATGGGTGGACAGAGATGGATGGATGATGGATGAGGATGGGTGGGCGATGGATGGAAGGAGGGAGGGGGAGGGAGGACTTCTTGGCTGAGCTCCAGCAGGCTGCCCCAGGGACTTGGAGGTTGGCGCAGGGAAATGTGGCTCCCCTCCTCTCCCTCACTGCTTATTCATCTGACAACTGTCACCCCCACCCCTCGAGTCAGGCCTGAGTACTTTACAGGAAACCTCACTAGAGCCTGAGTGCTTTACAGGCAGGGAGATTGAGGCTGGTGGGTGAGCTCACTGGCTGTCCCTGCCCATCTCCACGGGCCATGTTCTGACCTGGCCACTGAGCACCCTTCCTCACCTCACTTCCACCTGAGTGGGGAGGCCAGATGCGAGAGGGGTCGCCTCTGGTGGAGGGGTGGTTTCACATCCTGAGATGGGAGGTGCAGAGCACCCCTCTCCCTGGGCTGCCAGGGCCCCGGGCATCTCGGGATGAGTCAGCGGCCACAGCGTGGGGTGTGTGGCACTATTTTGGGACATGATTTTATCACCTGGCCACAAGGCTGCCTCCCTGTGCAGAAGCGCCTTCACCTGCCCTTCCCACCTGGCTCAGCTCGGCTCCATGTCCCCCGTCCCTGTCCCCCTCACAGGGGCCGGATGCCAGGTGCCGACTCTGCCCTCCTGGGTCCCCCGAGCCCTTGTCTGCAGGTGTGGGGGCCGAACCACCCTGAGCACTGCCTCCCTGGTCTGCCTGCAGGGGTTCAACTTGGACAGGGAGGTGGCTTTGGGGACCTGTGAGGGCTCAGTGTCCAGGGGCAGGCCGGGTCCCAGAGAAGCCCTCGACCTGCAGTTCACCTGGCAGCAGAGACCCAGGGGAGCAGTGGGGTGAACACGCTGTGCTCACTGTCGAGGGCTGGGAATAGGAGGAGGAGGTGTGTGAAGCCCTGTGCCAACTGTGGAGTGCTGTGCTCTTAGGAGGTGGAATGCAAACCTGCCGTAAGAACTGTAGAGGGCTGTAGAACCGTAGGAGGCAGGCTGGGGATGTGCGGTGTGAACTGTGGGGTGCTGTAAGATGGGAGGAGTATGGGTGGGGACGTGCGGTGTGAACTGTGGGGTGCTGTAAGATGGGAGGAGTGTGGGTGGGGACGTGCGGTGTGAACTGTGGGGTGCTGTAAGATGGGAGGAGTGTGGGTGGGGATGTGCGGTGTCAACTGTGGGGTGCTGTAAGATGGGAGGAGTGTGGGTGGGGACGTGCGGTGTCAACTGTGGGGTGCTGCGGCTGCCCAAGTCCTGGATGCCCCAGGCACCTGAAGTCCCCAGCCGGCTGGGACCTGTGACCCAGACTCGTGAATCAGTTGGAGGGCACACAGAACTGAGCCATGAGGCTTTGCACCCCTGGGATGGCCGATCTTGGGGACCCCAAATTCGAGTTCTGCTGCCCCTGGCTATTCAGCCAAGGCAGTTCCTGCCCCTCTCGAGTCAGCAGGTGTGTGGGGGGCAGTTGCCTGTCCCCGTGAGCGCCGCAGCCTCTGCAGATGGCCTAGCCTCAGTTTCCCGGTTTCCCGGTGCCGCAGTGTCCTGGGGCTCTGATGTCCCTGCCTCTCCCCAGCCCCTCCCAGCCCCGTAGTCCTGCGTGGGGCGTGAGGGCCACTGCGACCCTGGCACCGGAGGCGCTGGGAGACCTGGGGCCTGGCTCTCCTGAGGCCCCGCTGGGGAGTGGGTGGGATAGGCCCCGGCCCTTCCTACAGGCCCCTCATTTTCCTTCAGCGAGGGACCCAGCACTGTCCGCTCTTCCACATACACAAAGCTGCAGGCTGGCCCTCGGGACACACCAGGACATGCCAGTGGCCCCAGTGGCCTCCAAGGGGTCTGGCCAGCTCTCTCTGGCTGTCCCAGGCAGAGCCAACAAGAGGGGTTCTGGGGCCAACTGAGGGGGTGGCTGTCCCTCTCCTAAACCCCATAGTCCACTCTCAGAGTTTCCTCCTCCTGCTGTTTCCGGAACCTTCATGCCAGGCCCAGAAAGGGGGCTGGACTCAGACAAGGCCACCAGAGGCCCCCTTCCATGTCCACCCTCACGCTGTCTGCCAGCACCTCTCAGAACACATGGGCCCCCATGACTCCGAGAGGCAGCCATGGTCTGCCCTGTGTCATGGATCAGAAACTGGGCAGGATGGGTGACCCCCCATGGGGGTGTTCAGGTTGGGAGTCCAGGGTCCCCCTGAGCCCAAGGCCCTAGTAGGGGGCACAGGCCCTGTGACCCTGGGGGTGTGGGCCCCAGTGCTGTGCCGGGGTTGGGAAGCCTGAGGCTTCCTGTTTGCGCTGTTCAGGGTAATTGACGGGAAACAGTAAAAACCCCAAGGCCTGGGGGACCGGGCACCGTCCACAAGGCCTAGCCCTGGCTGTGCCTCAGCCACCGTCCACATGCTGTCCCATCTCAGCGGTGGCATTTACTGCATTTACGTGGCCAAAACCAGACAAGGAGCTCCATGGGTTGGTCGGGGGAGGCGGCCTGGCCCCTGGAGCTAAGGCCACGGTGCTTCACCCTCGCCCCAGCTCTGGCTTCTGCTGGAAGAGAGCCTTAGTCAGGGGCAGCTTCCGGGGGCCTCCTCCTGGGGCCTTGTTTGTCCTTCGGAGTCTCCCCGAGTGGTGGGCTTTGAGGAGAAATTGACAGCCCCCGGTCTGGAGACCAGAAGGGTGGTGTTAGGGGCCGCTCCGATTTACAGGAGGGTCCTAGCTTGTCTGTCCAGCTCTGTACCTCAGGGAGTTCCTTGGCTGGGAGGTGGTTTCTCACAGGGTCGTCCCCCCCCCCCCGGTGCCTCGTGTGTGACCCTGTCTCCGTGTTGCTCACCCCTTTTATAAGTCACCACTTAGAAGAGGTTAGGGGCCACCCTCTCAGTATGATTCACTAATCTAAGTAACCAAAGAAAACCCCTACGTCAGACAAGGTCCCATCACTGGTATTAGGGTTAGGACTTTAGCTTATCTTTGTGGGGTCCCTGTGAGTCGGGATTGACTCATCGGCACCTGGTTGATAACCGAAGACGCACATATGAAGGGGGGTGTCCAGAATATTCCCGACTGTTGAGAAACGGATGTCCTGGCCCATGCTACAACGCGGAACCTCGAAAGCCCAATGCCGAAAGATGCCAGACACGAGGACACTGTCTGACCCCACGTCCAGGAAACAGAGGAGCCAAGAGACAAGAGTAGATTAGGGGTGTGGGGGGCGGGGCTGGCGAGTGGGGAGCTCACAGGTGTGGGGTGATGGAAAGCCTGGAATGAGATCGGGGTCATGTTCCCACATGTTTATGGCCATTAAAGCAGCACTGGGTTATGCACTGGATGGGTGGATGGGTGACAAGGGTGGGCTTTACTGCCTGGTTCTGTCTCATCAAAGACAGGGGAGGAGCGAAGGGGAAGCCAGGAAGTCTGTCAGCTCACGGCCTCCAGGTCCACGATGCAGTGTTCAGTGCTCACCCTCTCCCACCCAGAGGCCTGTACTGCAAGTGGGCTGCAGACTGCAAGTGGGCTCCAGAGTGTTCTGGAATGTTCTGGAAGGTTCCAGAGTGTTCTGGAAGGTGCCGGAGTGTTCTGGAATGTTCCAGCAGGTCTCCGTGCAGCCACAGACTCATCTGCCCTGTCTCTGCAGACTCCTCCGAGAGCAGTGGATCCGAGCCAAGTACGAGAGAAAGGAGTTCATCCACCCTGAGATGCAGGAGCCCTACTCGGCAGGTAGGGGCTCTGCGGGGAGTGCTACTCGGCGGGTTGGGGTGTGGGGGGCAGCTCTACTCAGCAGGTAGGGGTGCTGGGGGCCGTGGGGAGCCCTACTCGGCAGGCAGGGGGTGCCGACGGGGGGCGCCAGGTGCCGGGGCACAGATTGCAGGATGCTGGTCTCTGGGTTGGGTCCTTCTCTCTCATCCTCCTCTGTCTCGGTATCTCTGGCTCTTTCTGTCTCCCTGTCTCTCTCCATATCTCTACCTGTCCCTCTCTCTCTCCGTCCATCTCTCTATCTTAAAAGAGCTGGGCCCCCCCAGCCGCCCTCAGCGTCTCCCCACTGCTCCTTGGGCGTGGGTCCAGCTCAGGATGGGGCTCCTGGGCAGGGCAGCTCAGTTCTAGCCTGTGGCTCCACTGAAGCCCTTCTGCATCTGGTTGCTTCCAGACATTCTTGTCTCCGGGGCAGGCAGCAGGCTCCTTCCTGCACAGGTGGGCATGCTGGCCAGTTGGGACTGGCGGTCTGGGCAGTTCTGATGAGATTCTGAGAAGATGGGTCCCCGGGGGCCAGGCAATGTCCACGCTGGTTGGGGGGTGTTCCTCCGAGGCCCAGCGGCTGCCCCCTGCCCTGGTCTCTTCCACGGGGACACATGGATTGGACCTCTTGCAGCCCTTCAGCTCCCTCTACCCCACCCCTCGAGAGGCCCTCCCTGGACAGGCCCGGGCTTGTAGGTGCAGAAAGCCAGGCCTCTGTGGGGACATCGAGGCCCAAACTTTACTCCGCCACCTTGCCCTTGCCTGACAGATGGGGAAACTGAGGCAGGTGGCATGGCCTGGCTCTGAACAGAGCCAGAGAGGAGCTGCCTGTCACAGGAGGAGGGAGGCAAGCCCAACCCTCTGGCGTGTGGCCCCCAAGCTGGACCTTGGACTGTTCTCGTGACCTCTGACCCTAAGTCCTTGTATGCACCATTCTTTAAAGAAAAGTGACCTCAACACGCTGAACACACATTGCCTGTGCCATGCTGTTCCCCTTGGGAACACACCCCAGTGACTGGAGAACAGGAACGCAGATGGGGACACACACCAGGGCTCACTGTGCACAGCAGCAGAGGTGGACGCCAGCAGATGGTGGACAGACACAACGTGGTCAGCCACAAAGAGGAATAAAGTCCCCAGTGCTGCCACCCAGGGCTGAACCCGTGCTGAGCGAGAGCCAGACATTACAGGATGCTTGCTGTCGGATCCTCTCACACCAACTGTGCAGGACAGGCAAATACAGAGAGACGGCAGAATGGCTCCCAGGGGCTGGGGCAGCGGGCACGGCATGGCTGCTTACTGGGGTCTCCTGTAGGGCCGATGAGAACGTCTGGAACCAGACGGGGACGCAGCATAAAACCGTTGTGTAAGAAATGCCACGGGGTTGTGCGTGCAAAGATGGGAAGGACATACTGTGTGAATTCACCTCAATTTATAAAAGGAGAGTGAGGCGGCGGCAGCCCGTGGCCTCTAACGCCAGCCTCGAGCTGAGGCCCAGAGGCAGCAGGGTGGCCTGTTGGCCTCTTCTTGAGGCCCCTGATGGAGCTCGTCCCACTGCCCCCCACGGCTCCTCCCTGGGGAGCCTGGTCAGCACCCTGATACCTGCTGCCAGGAGCTGATGCCCGTGCGGAGCACTGGAAGATAGGCCAGGGGGTCCTCTGGTCTGAGTGACCCCGGGATCCCTCCGCTCCGGGTGGGCCGAGTGGGAGTGACCGGTCCCCACGCACGTGGGCTGGGGGCGGGGAGGGGCTCTGGGCAGCAGAAGGGTCCGACTCGTGCCCACAGCCCGGGCTCCTGACCCCGTGCTTCAGCCCCCATGCTCCACTCCAGACAGGACCTGTGGGCAGCCTTTGATTCAGTTACGTCCACCAGACAGCCACTGCTTCCTCTCGAAAGGATCCATCCCCAGTGTGAGAGGGAGAGTGTGCGTGAACGCGATGGCAGGTGGATCAGTGCTAACGCAGAGATGGGTGGATTGGTGGGTGAGGGGTGGGTGGATGCAGAAGAGAATATAGAGACAGACACTGACGGAAACCAAACCCACTGCCACTGAGTTGATTCCGACTCATAGAGACCCCCATTGGCTTTCAGAGGCTGTAAATCTTTACAGAAGTAGATTGCCCAGACGTCCTTCTGAAGAGCAGCTGGTGGGTTTGAAACACTGACCTTCTGGTTAGCAGCCAAATGCCTTACCCACTATGCCACCAGAGCCCCTTTGTTGTTATGTGCCGTTGAGTTGGCCCCGACTCATTGCGACCCCTCCTTGGTTTCCGAAGCAGTATCTCTATGGAAGTAGATTGCCCAACTTTCCTTCCGAGGAGTAGCTGGTGGGTTTGAACCCCCAGCCTTCTGGTTAGCAGTCAAGTGCCTTAGGCACTACGCTACTTTAGATGCTGATATAGATAAATACATAGATCCAAATGCATAGATCCAAAGCCCACCCACTACTGTGGATTCTGACCCACAGCGCCCCTAGAGGACAGAGTGGAACTGCCCCCAGGGTCTCCAAGGCTGCCAATCTTCACAGAAGCAAAGCCCAAACCACACCCACTGCCGTGGAGTCCATTCCGACCCACAGCGCCCCTAGAGGACAGAGTGGAACTGCCCCCAGGGTCTCCGAGGCTGCCAATCTTCACGGAAGCAAAGCCCAAACCACACCCACAGCCGTGGAGTCCATTCTGACCCACAGCGCCCCTAGAGGACAGAGTGGAACTGCCCACAGGGTCTCCAAGGCTGTCAGTCTTTACAGAAGCTGACTGCTTCATCTTTCTTCCCGTGGAGCAGCTCGAGGGTTCAAACCTCTGACCTTCTGGTTAGCAGCTGAATGCCTTGATCACAGCACCACCAGAGCTCCTCAGACAGAGGTAGACACGTAGATGCTGATGCAGGTTGGCTGACAGACAGACACTGAGCGCACTGGCTGGCTGGACAGACGGGACAGTGGAGGGAGGGCACTAGCAGCTGGCGCTCCGCTCCTGCCCAACACTGGCCTGCTTGCCCTTGAGCCCCTGGACAACTCGCCCAGAGCTCCGTCATCTCTCCTGGCTTCATCACGGTCGTCACCTGTGACCTGCTTTCACAGACAGGTGAAGGCTGGGCTGAAATGACCACCAAATTTTGGGTCTGTTCTATCAGGACTCCCTGGTTGTAAGTGACAGAAAATCCAACCCAGTTGGGCTTAAGCAAAACAGGGAACAGACTAGCTCACAGAATTGGGCGGGCTTCAGGAACGGCTTGATCTAGAGGTTCTAGGACTCAGTGACTACACCTTTGGGTTCTAATTCTTTGGGTCAGCACCCAGCCTCCTGGTGAGTCTTTCCCACAGGTCCAGCTTTACAGCCCCTCATTCATGTGCTTCGAGAAAAGGCAGGTATACCGCTGACAGAAGGCTCATGTCTCTGGCTCTGAGTGGTCAGGGTGGGCACCTGAGCAGATGACCAGGGGACGTACTGCCCTGGGTCACAGGCCTGCCTCCTCCCGAGAAGAACCAAGGTCTGGGTCCCAGAAGTGGAGTGTCTGACCTCAGATCCAGCTACTGAGCTCAGCTGCGCGTCGGGCGTCTCCCCCACACCTGGCGGACACCTCCCTGCCTGTGCCTCCTGTCCACACCTGTGGACGTTCCCCGAGTTGTCCTCTCAGGAAGTGAGGCTGAGAGGAGCTGGAGGCTCTTGCTGTCTGGCTGGAGAGGGGACGAGGGCCCGAGCTGGGAGCAATGTCTGGCACAGTGCTCTGCGGTCGGAGCCCTGAGCCCTTGTCTGCCAGCCCTTGAAGTCCATAGTCTGGATGGTCCGACTCAGCCAGTGGAGGAGCAAAGGCTTGGAGTTCAGAGCGGCCCTCAGCCTGTGCCGAGAGGCCCCACAGGGCCCAACGAGCTGTGTACTGGCCCACCCCCCTTCTCAGGGCAGACACCTCAACCCCATCCTCTCACTGGGCTCAGCCCACATGGCAACTCCATGGGGCAGGCCCCAGGGGACCCAGCTGGGGTGATGGCGCTCGGCTGGGCCTCCTGCTCCTCACACAGCAGGTGGGGTGCAGGCCCCCAGGAGCGGAGGGCAAGGTGCAGAGCACAGACATATGGGAGAGGAGAGTCCCTCCAAAGTCCCCAGCTCCCCCCAATGTCCAGCAGTGGACAAGGTGTCCTGGCGGGGCCGGGGACCCTGTCTGCCCTGCCTGGGTTGGCTCTCCCAGCCTGTGAAGGGGCCCCAGGGATCCTGCCACACTTCCTGTCCTCCCCCTTAGCTTTGCCACAAGAACACTTTCTCACGGTGACGATGACACCTCTCGCCATGGCGAAATGCAGAAGTCCCCCACAGAGCAAGGACCCAGGGAAAGGGGAAATGTGGGCTCGGGAAAGGCCCCTAAAACTAAGTGGCTCTCTGGGTGACTGCACCCAGGAATGTCCCAGAACTCAGGGCTGCTCAAGGGCTGACAGGGACACAGGTGCCGGCAGCTCCAACAAGGGGCTGCATGGCACCCCAGGACCATTGGGAACGGGGGTCACAGTGCCTGGGAAGCACTGACAGGCGGGCTTGAGACCCCTGGCGAGGTGGCCTGGTGAGTCGGGCAGGTCCCGGCTGCAGGCCTGTACTCTGGGCCACTCGGAAGGAGGAGCCTTGTACCGGGCTTGTGCAGAAGCTCCTGGGCTGAGCAGCGGGTGCAGGAAGGGTTCTGCTGTGACTAGATTTTAACCCACTGTCGTTGTCATCGGGTGCTGCCAGTTCCGACTCACAGGGGCACCATGTCACAGCAGACCCGGCTCCCAGGGTGTTGCAGGCTGTCACCTTAACAGGGGCCACTGGCAGGGCTTTTCTCCCAGGAACTGTGGCAGGGGCTTGAGCCGCCAACCCTTCGGTTCACTATTAAAAAATAAAACAAAACAGTGAAACCCACTGCCACAGAGTCCATTCTGACTCATAGTGACCCCACTGGGTTTCTGAGGCTATAAATCTTTACAGAAATAGATTGCCCAGTCTTCCTTCCACAGA